CGCGTTAGGTAGTTGAAACTAGGCTACAGTAGGCTACAAATAATTACTTCATTATCAATTAATTAATTCAAAAATAATTAATTCACCGCTGCCTACAACGTCAATGCCATCGTCCATCGCGATGCTTCATATTAGACATCGCCCAATGCTAGTGGTCATTATAATACGGACATGTCAATCAAAATCAGTGGGCGTGGACACCGCATGACTACGTAACGATGCAGTGAACCTCAAAAATCACTGGGGTTTGGATCCTATATTATTGTCAGGAAAAGTTAAAAAAGACATGTCATTACATCAATCCAATATGATTGTGTACACACTATATCTACATACATTTCAGTCCAAACAGCTTCCAAAAGTTGATTTTTTCATGATTTTGCACGACATTCTTAACCCTATTTTAGGTTTATCCATAAATGATTTAAATTTGCATTGAAACATTGAATTTGACTCTTTCTTTCACAGTGCACTTAAAATCATCAAAACACTGATTGAGCAAAACAGAAGCAAAAAAAAAAAGAGAGCGTGAGACACAAAAAGACAGAGAGAGAAGCAGTGGGAGGATGGAAAGAACTGAAAGTTTTTGTGGTGGAATCTAAAAGGGCTTCAGAAGAGAGAAGCTGAACCCAGTAAACTGGCAGAGCTGTTCATCGAATCAAATTGAAGCCTTAGTGCTCTCAGTTTCTCCAGATTGTCCCGTATCCACCTCCTTCCTCAGGACGAGTCTTGCCCGACCAGCCATTTCATCAAATCACCACCAGCTTCAGCTTCAACTTCATCACCCAAAGGTAAAACCCAAAAGGCCAGACCACATTATTTGAGATTAGATTAGAATCTGGAATACCCCTTTAATACAGATCAGCCTACGCCCGCCAAAACCAGACTAATACAGAGACTCGGTTTAAAAGGTTTTTGGAGTAAATTGTTTTCATTTTCTCAAGATCATTTATGATGGTGTTTTCCTGTGGTTGTGCAGCCAGAAGGGTTCCTGTGCGTGATATTCAGCAGTCTTTAGAGATGGTTTTAGTTTCTCTTTCAGTATGAATCTATGATATTTCGCCCACATTATCCCTCTACTAGGTCAATAGTACACCTCTTGTCAACAAGATGTGCGGTTTGAGGTATCGTCCAAGTTTGAGCACAAACAGTGTATGATGGACTGCAAGTGCATGCATGAGTTGATAAATACATGGATGGATCATTTATCTTTCAAGACATATTTTTTTAGTTATTCTGTATTAAGGCTGCACAATATTGGAAAAATCTGACATTGCGTTTTTTTTTTAGATATATATTGCGATATACTGTGTTTACAATTTTACCAAACAATGGAATATAACATATTACATATATATTACAGTCAAGCTTTATTTTAACGGTCACTTCCCGCTATTAGCAAACCATTAACCATGACTTTTGCTTGAATAAACTCAAAATTTGTTCTTTTATTAATAGATGTTAAGGTAGTTTAGGTATTGGGTCATGGATGTAATAAGGTTATGCAGAACATTTAGTTTATGAGTACCAATAAGCAGCCAATATCTCAATAACATACGTGCTAATAAGCAATTAATTAATAGTGAGCATTGATTACTAAAGTGTTATCAAATGTATTAATTTAGATTGATTGGAATGATTCTGTATGGAAGTGAATAATGCAAAAAATGTCAAAATGTAAACTAAAAATGTGGTTTTGTAAATATATATGTAAAAATTACACTGCAAAGTCTTTATTTTACAAATAATGCAGTACATTTATTGTTTGTTAAACTTGTTCCTGAATACTTTAATCTCTCTCAGGCCTTAAAAACATGCAAATTATAATATTTCACTTTGTTATGGTAAAACTCCGCAGTGACTCCACAAATTTCATGTTCTGAACTGTTTTTTGCTCAAACATAATCTCCACTCAACATTGAATATCTATGCGATGTGACTATAGTGGATGCATACTGTACACTGTGATATCGATGCTGAAACAATATTGTGCACCCTATTCTGTACAGTATTTTCATAGTATAGAGGTATTTAAAGGGATAGTTCACCCAAAAAGGAAAGTTTCCTAATTATTCACACTTAAGTGTTTCAAAACCTTTATAGACTTCTTTGTTCTCTTAAACACAAACAATATATTCTGAAGAATGTTGGGAAAAGGACAACCTTTAACAAAGGACAACATTCTTTAAAATATTATTCTTTCTGTTTAATAGAAGAAAGAAACTCAACTGTAGCCCAAATCATAAATGTTTCCGGCATGTTTGTCAGGTAATATTTTTTATTATATTATTTAATATTAAATTTTTTATTTAATTATTTTCCTAGGAACTCTTTTGTGTTGACCCCAAATCAATTTTAGTGAACACATAACTGGTGTTTGTCAGGTAATTATTTTATGTTATTTGACCAGATTGTCTTTAGTTTTCTTTTTTCTTTTCTTTTATGTCTCAGCTTTTGCTGACCAGCCATTAATTTCATGCAAACTCAATCATTTCATGCAAATTCATAACTGATGGTTTGTTGGGTAATTTTGGTGGCAGGGGAAACTCCTTTTTATGGACCAGCAATCATGTTTATGCAAAGTTATATATTAGATATAAACAAACTGGTTTCAGCAGGTGAAGGTTTAGGCTGAAATCAATATTACGGGGTCAGTTTGAAGATTTTATTTAGAGGTCAGATTAAAGCATTTGTCTAGTGTTTGATTATTTTTTTCTTTTAATCTAATAATAGTTATCTGCATCAATCAGTATTAATAAATGTGTAAAAGTTAATTGAAACTTTATATAACAAGTAATATAATATAAAAAAAACTTTTATTGCAGTTTACTTCATTTATACATTTTATTATATTTTAATATTAACCTAATATTTATTTTAATATTTTATTGATATTATTTTAATAATATCTATTTACTTTTTTTTCTTTTTGGCAAAGTTTTAAAGAACGATCCCTGTTAATGGAAATGAGCACTTTGGCATAAGAGCTGATTTGCGTTAGTGTGCGTGTCTGTCTTCCGCTAAAGCTTTGTTTCCAGTCCACACAGTGTGAGTCCAGCCCTGCTGATCCGCTCTACACATTCGCTAACAGCCAATCAATATATCATGAGCCACACAAACACACCACCATACTTACAGGGAAATGAGCTGTGTGTGTGTGTGTGTGTGTGTGTGTGTGTGTGTGTGTGCGTGCGCGTGTGTGTGTGTGTGTGTGTGTGTGTGTGTGTGTGTGTGTGTGTGTGTGTGTGTGTGTGTTTTAATGAAGACTCAAGGGGGGTCGAGTACCTGTCACTCTCAATCGATCTGCCCTCCCCCAGACTGACAGCTTCACCAACCTACCATACACCTGTCTGTCTTTCTGTGTGTGCGTGTGTCCCCATCAGTGTAACATCCTCTTAAAGCATAATGTAAAAAAAATAGTATTTATATTAGCTCACATATATTGTATATAAGTATAATGAATTAGTTTGAATATATCTGAATAATTGTGTATATTTCTTTAAATTTAAATAAAAGGATAGATAATTTAGGTATAATAGGTGACTATTAGTTTAGTTATGAGTTATATTTTTAATACAAATTTATAATTATATATTGTTCTTCAATTATACCCTAAGTAAGTGTATGAAAAATGTATAATTGATATTTTCACAGAGCATGATGAATTCATTCAATTTCTTTTTGGCTTAGTCCCTTTTTAATCAGGGATCGCCACAGCGGAATGAACCGACAACTTATCCAGCGTATGTTTTTATGTTTTACACAGCGGATGCCCTTCCAGCTGCAACCCATCACTGGGAAACACTCATACACTCTCATTTACACACATACACTACGGACAATTTAGCTTACCCAATTCACTTTTACCACATGTCTTTGGACTTGTGGGGTAAGACAGAAATATCATCTGACGCAGCCGAGGCTCAAACCAGCGACCTTCTTATATATAATACACACACACACACACACACACACACACATACATATACACACACACACACACACACACACATACAAACAAACAAACAACACACTAACACACACAACATAGAGTGCCTATAGAAATGCATCATGCCCTGTGAAAATCTATACCTTTACTCACATAACACTCTGCTTTCAAATAATCTACGGGATAAAGTTGTTGAAAGAAACAGGTTGGGAGAAGATTACAAAACCATTTTAAAGACTGGAAAAGTTTCGCTGCTTCTCTAGATTTATTTTGTTAAATATAAAATGTTTTTATTTATTTATAAAAGTCTGAAAATATTTATTTTAAATTATTAAAATAAGAAATATCACCATTATCATCTTTTCTAGTATATGAAAATTGCCTCAATTACCATAATTATAAAAAATGTTTTTCTCAAACACATTAATCCTAAGTAAAACTAAGAATGGCACATATTCAGTAGCTGTGCATCTGTAGTGATTGCACATATTCTGTGTATCCACATCTTTTCCCAATTATCTCTAAGTTAGTCAAAATAATGCAGACCATTATATACATGTAAGCCTTTGTTCATGTATGTTCATGCGAACTCGGCTCTCGACAATCGCAGACAAATTAGGCTAGTGATAGAGGAAGACAGAGAAAGAGCAGCGTGCTGGTGTGTATGTGTGTGTGAGAGTCTGTTCTGAAATGTCACAGCGCAGATCGATGGGGCTTAACGAGGACCGTGGACCTAATGTGGGCACAATCCCCCAAAATGATCTGAACCCGTCCACCAGCTCAATCTCAGACCTGTCGCTCAATGCAGACAGGATCTAGACCTGAATCCGCCCCCCCATACACACACACACACACACACACACACACATTAGGGTTCTTGACTTGGTATTATCCTGTGAAGACACCTGGCACGTCTCTGCTTTTTGAACTTGACAAAGGGGGAGCCCCTCGGCCTCCTCTCCAGTTGCAACAACAAACACAAGCTTCAAGAGAAAAACACTTCTGATGCTTTTACACCAAGGTGCACAGAAAAACGACACTTTGACTCAAATAATCAGAAGATTTTTTTATGATTTCAAAGTGCTAAACAGAGCCTCCAGTGAACCAAAGAGAAAAAAACTAAAACCAAAAAAAAAAAAGACATTGAAAAACGTTTTTTTTTCTTTTTTTCATGTTTCTTTTCCAAAAAAACAATTCACAACTTGTACCACAAGATTTGAAAAAGCTATCAGATAAAAACACTTCAAAATATTAGTTTTGTATTGTGTATATATATATATTTATATATTTATAGAATTTGTACTTTCTCATCTGTTCAAACCGCTGCCATATGATAAAGTAAGCGAGAACGCCCAGTCAGTAAGTGTGTTCAAGCCCTTGTGGAGCCGGCAGTCTTTGCAAAATAAATACAAGCAGAGGCGAGAAGGAGAAAACCATGCATATAATCCGTTTTTACTTTTTTTGTACATACAAAAGACATTTTTTGCAACAATGTCCTCCATATTAATAAATGGCGTAGACAGTATAAACATACAAAAATGAGCATGAACGCGGAATGTTTCATTCCTTCCATCCTCTCTCTGCACCTGCACCTCACCTGATCCACTTCCTGTTGTTTTTTTAAGTGCTTAAAGCCCAGTTCTACTTTTTTTTTTTTAGTCCTAAGGCTAAAATCCCTTGGTTTTTCTTCACAATAATAATGAAAACAAAAACAAACCCTACTTTGATTTCAAGTCTGTGGAACTTCGTCGTTTAAAAAGTTAGTGCGCAGACTGGGCTAAATCTTCTCAATCAAAATCCATCAGCCTTACGAGGCAAAGTCTTAGTATTAAAATAATTTAGAGTTTGAAATAGGACTGGAACAAACACGCTTTCTCGTTCTCTCCCGCGACGTTTACAATAGCACTTAGTAAATTGCACTTGTTTGCAGGATTTTCGGGGTGCGATCAACTGTGATTCTGGACATTAATGCACTCTGTGTGGCGAAAGCCTCCTACGCGTTTTCACACACACATCCACTTCGTTTCTGCCAATGACAGTTGATATGTCATAATCTGGCATCTGAAGCTCCGTGCGTATGTGTGAAAGGACAGTTCGCGTGCACTTGTGTGTCTGTGAGTGTATGTTTGTGATGAACACCACTGCTGTCATTGAGGTGGATTGTGGTGGAAACATTTGGACCACCTGCGATGAAGCCGTAAAGGGTGTTTCTTCACATGCACACACACATACACACATACACACACAGTAATACTTCTACTGACGTGACTCGCTGAGCTATAGACTGTACGTCAGAAACACTCAAACCCTGGCTTGTATCTACATTATCAGGCGCAGAGCAGAGATTAAAAGCGCTTATATGATTGGTTTCTCCTCAGACACGTTTGATTTGGGGCAAATCGAGTTCAGTGTCACTGTTAGCTACTGGCTCTGTCCCTCCCAGGGTGAGTTTATAGTCGCTGTGGGCGTGTCTGAGCGAGTGTGCAAAAAAATGTGGGCGTGGCCATCAATAGGGCAAGGTGTCCAAGAACCTATCGATGAGTGGTGGGGGTGGGACCAGGTCCTCCAGCTTCAGGTAGAAGATCCTTTGTAGGCCTTGCGTACGCTGAGACCGAAGCTCCGCCCTTAAGCCCAGCACAGCCCCCACTGGGGGTGGGGCCTTGCCGGTGGAAGCCACACCTCCAGCATTGATGGAGTTCAGGTGGTCTCGCAGACAGCAGATCAGTTTGGATTGCAGCTCCTCCACTTTTTTGGGCTCCTTTAGACCGGGACATTGTTCTGAAATTAGATGAAAGAGCGAGAAAGAGGATGAGTGCTTTGTTTAAGATACAAGAGTTCATTATAGCACCATTGAAACACCCACACACACAAAACTTGCTATTTCACAATCTGTTAAATATCTGCAGTCGAGATTTTTTTTTTTATTTTGGACCCAGGTTTGTATGTATATTAATGTGGTGAAAATACCTTTCACTAAATTATCTCTGTTAAAATATTATTTATAATGTACATCATTTTAAATCAGCATCAAAGCAAGTTTATATCAGTATCAAACGTTTGTCAAATATATTTACATACTTATATAATTTTATATTGTATTGAATTGTATTGATATTAATGTATTTTGTACAACGGATTTTATGTGGTTTTTGTGGAATTTAAAATTTTAACATTTTGAATGGATAAAAACTATAAAGTAAAACATGGTGTCATTAAGAACCTTCACTGATCAAATAAAACTTGAACAATTTATAAAATAAATAAAGATTTTTCAATATAGGTAATATATTTTGGTGCATCTGAAAAAAACAGATTAAACAGATATATTTATTAATATAATATTTTAATCACCAAACATCTTTAGAAATAGAAAGATAATACATTTTAAATCCACGTGAAATACTGCAACACAAAAATTTCAAACTTACAAATTTTAACTAAATTTTATATGTATTATAGTTATCTTTTCTGTTTTTTAAAACATTTTTTATTTAATATTATTCCCAAACATATACAGTTGAATCAGAATTATTATCCCCCCTTAACACATTTCTAAACATAATAGTATTAATAACTTGTTTCTAATAACTGATTTACTTTATCTTTGCCATGACGCCAGTAAATAATATTTTACTAGATATTTTTCAAGACACTAGTATTCAGCCTAATGTGACATTTGAATACTTAACTAGGTTAATTAGATTAACAAGGCAGGTTAGGGGTAATTAGGCAAGTTTTTGTATAATGATGGTTTGCTCTGTAGACTAAAAAATAGCTTAAAGGGGCTAATAATTTTGACCTTAAAATGGTGTTTAAAAAATAAAAAGCTGCTTTTATCCAAGCATAAATAAAACAAATAAGACTTCCTCCAGAAGAAAAAAATATTATCAGACATACTGTGACAATTTCCTTGCTCTCGTCAACATTTAAATATTCCCAAAATCCCAAATATATTAAAAGTATTTAATCTCAAATATTTGGAAAATATTTTTTTTAATAATTCAAGGGGGCTAATAATTCTGACTTCAACTGTACATTTGGCCCAATACTTTTTGGACTGTAATTTTAAGTTATTTTGTTAGAATAACTCCAGATTTGGCGTTAATACTGACTAATTTAATGTATATGCACAAAGATATCATTGTAAAACATCCTATAGAAAATATTCATTTAAAAGAGAGATTTTTGAGGGGTGTACAATACATCACAATAAAATCTGATATTGATTCTTAAGCCACAGATTAAACATTTGCAGAAACATCAACATAATCCTGATATGATGATATATTTACAAATATTTCTATTAAAAATAACTAATTAATTATTCTTTGCGAATATCATTCCCAATCGGCAATCGAATGCAACTCTCTATCCCCATTTCAAACATTCTGCATATACATGTGTCCACAATATGAATTTACAAGAGCCATGGAGCAGAAGTGCAAAGAGATGCTGGCTTACTTTGGATATACCAGAGTGTGTGTATGTGTGTTTCAAATCTATGTACCTAGAACCACTCCATTGTCACTGCATTCAGCCTCTGTCCTTCCTCACTCTAACTGTTTTTTTTCCTCTCGCTCTCTCTGTGTCTCTCCCTCTCTCCAGGGGGATGATCGATGGCGCTCTTTCACCGCAGACACTTTTAGAGGGTCGATAGACTGAGTGGAGGAGTGGAGAGAGGCAGAGAGAGAGAGCTGGAACGAGTGAGAGAGGTAGAGACTGGGGCTCTGCTGAGTAGCGCTCAATTCCTCTACAGAGTTGAGTGCTACACTGTGAGGGCTACCAAACACACTTGCACGCACACACACACAGCACACACCTTCCTCTCTAGATTGTGGCAGAGACAAGAGAGGTGAAGCCTGGGTGCTGGATGGGTGACTGAGTAAACTGATTGACAGATATTTTTCACTTACTGTCTTTAAAGACAATGTTAATGTTCCTGTTTACTTTTTTAATGCACGTTCTTGTTCTAAATTTGTGAATGACCCCACCCCCTTCCAAAAAAAATTATCAAAAATCACCCCCACATTAACATGATGCAAATACATTTTTTTTTTGTAGAAAATCTCATGTAATATATGTCTTTGAACAAATAATTCAGTCACATTATGTGTTGACATCATACATTAAAGCAGTCACAGTTTTTATACACATCTAAGAAATTATCCATCCCAAGTGACTGCAAAGAACAATAAACCATAAAGCACTTTTTATGCAATAGTCTAAACCACATGGACCAAAAGCCAGCTGTTTTTAATGTCTCTCTTAATGCTTGCCAGAATGCTCCTGTGCTTCTGTGTCTGTGGTGGAAGGTGTGTTTGTCTGTATATAGGTCGACCTGCTGTTTAGCCTCTGTGTTAATAATGCATGGTAAGACCCAAGCACCTGCTGACCCAAACACACACACACACACACTGTCCTACTTTGTCGACCAGTAATCAACCATCCACCTGCGCTCAAAGAAGAGATGCACACAAAACTCACACCATCTCTGTGTGTGTGTGCGCGATTAATGGGGATTATTTCCGATATCCAGGTAAACCTAATCTCTGTCAGCACCTGTCCCACACCTGTGATCACTGTGACGACCGCTAGCAGTCATATAAAGAGGGTTTAAATACACAAAATCAAGAATGACAACATGACAAGGGAGCCAGGAGGAAGTGAACATGTTGAATGCATAATAGAGCATTTAACCCAAAGTAAACTTCCATGGTCCATGTGCTGTGATGGTTTCATTTGTGTAAATATTGTCATCAGAGAGTCTAATGACATCTGTGTGCATGTTGCATATGAGTAAACCCTCTGGTTCAACTCAGACTTAAAACTGCAGCGTCTATCATCAGTCGAGGAGTGAGGTTTACCTGTGCAGCACTGCTACACTTACCCTGTAAGCCTCACTCCCATCTGTGTCATGGCACCAATTTAACCCTTCTGGCTCTATTTTGGTATGGGAGGTGGGCACACTAACAAAGACTGCAGCCTGACAGCCACTAATGTTCCTTTTGATGCCAGATGAGTGATGTTTACTGGCACAGCTCTTAGTAGGCGGCCTTCACTACATTCACCCCCACTAACTCTCTGTCCCATCCAAGTCACAGCACCAATATAATCCTTCTGGTTCTACTTGCCCTACACTGAACAGGATTTATACCAGTGTTTTTGGGCTGGGAGTGAGAAAGGGAAATAGAAGGTGCTACATTTGGTTTTTGGGGAGGCCTCTCCTGTGGCCTGGTTGGATGGATGCACAAAATCTCATTTTATGAAGTCGGTCATTAGGGTTTGCTTAACTTACTGTTGTATGAATGCAATGAATTAGGGCTGCACAATTAATCAAAAAAAGATTGCGATCTGGATTCGATCCTACACACGATCTTAATTCTGCTTTTCTACGATTCAGCCAATTATATTTTCAAGGTAAGGAGAGAAGCATAAAGGCAGTTGCACTAGTCTTCACATTTTATATTCATTGCTCAGCAACATGGACACCTCCAAATGGTGTTGAAAGAGTCACATACTGTATTTATAAGGTATAATTCAGCCAAAAATGTCATTTGTGTCTTAATGTAATGATGTATTCGAGAGCACGCAAACGTGCTACCAGTGATGTCTACTTTAGTCAACAGAACCTGCAAAGGCTATGAAAAGAGCTAATAAAGTTGTAAGTAGTGTTAAGTTTGTTTTACAGAGTGATTGTTTGGGTGCCGTGCGGGAAGTTTGATTTGCATCTATGTTTTTTTTTATAAAGTGACTGCAGCCATGACATGAGCGCAGTGAAAGTGAAACCGAAAGCGAGAACAACATTTAAATAATCTTATCGCATTTTAGAGTTATGATTGTGACAAGCATTTAACACTTTTTTTTTTTCTTGACACGCTATTCATATTAACCTCTATATTACATCTACAGAATCGTGAGGAAATCAAGATCTTGATTTGACAGTTTTATTTTAGCCAGAATTGTGCAGCCCTATACTATGAATTTGAACAACATTCCACTTCTTATGTAATATGGATGGAAGTGTATTTAGAAAAACAATATTTGTCAAACACAAACCGCAAGACAAAGTAGAATGCCTAAAATGAAGTAAACCTGGACCTTCACACAGGAATTGCAACTAGGTGTATTTGTGAGGGTATGATTTACCTGTTAGCAACACTAAGGCGCACAAGCAGGAGAACGCAGGCATGTCGAGGTTGAGTTCCTGGAGGTGGGCACTGAAGTCTCGAATAGAGTCTAGCCACTCTCCGAAGCCACGCAGACACTGCAGCCGGTGCAGGACCAGCCCCGTACAAAACACAAACTTCTCATCCACCAGCAAAGACCTAAGAAAACGAGAGAGAGATGGGGGTGGTTTAGATGAAGAACTGTTGTTATTTATACTGCTTCAAGGTGCCGTTTGAAGCCATGAGTTCAGTCGTCTCCTTTCATCTTTTAATTAATCGCTGTTCTTCTCATTCCCTTCAGAACAGGTACCTGTTTCAATTTACCAAGCCTCTAATTCTGTACATATCAGAAAGCACACACAGTCTACGCTGTGACACACACACACACACACACACACACACACATGCTGATTATCACCTCTTTCTGATTCATGTGATGACGATCTGCTCTCTGATTGGCTGCTGAATCTGCGTTTAAGGCATACTGCACGGAAACAATTACCATAGCGACAAATGAAAGCCAGGACAGGGAAGAGCACATCAAAGATAGGAATGGACCTAATTATGCCAAGCTTTCCCAATTAAAGCTTTTAAAACATTCCTGAGATTATACTCTTTATTTCTCTCCCTCGCTCTCTCCCTCTTTCTCTCAGCTCTGTCCTTCAGGGTTGAAGGGTTGTGGGTCAAAGCAGTAAACTTTTATCCTCACTGTATTTTCAAGAAGATCATTTATGTGTAATTGCAGCAAAACACTCGCTCTCCACTCATCCATCGCCCTCTTCTTCTCCATCCACTCATCGTTTCTCTCTTTTGGTCCGTCTTTAGCCCTTCGCTCTCAACCCTGCAATTTAGGAAGAAAAACTTCCTCCCTTTTTTCCCATAGAGTGCTGGTTTCTGCCGCGTGAACTGTTCTTCATTAGTCTGCACGAAAACACACTCGTATAGACGAGAAGAGGAGGAGTAATGGAAAGAGGACGAAGGGAAATACAGCGAGGAGGAATATTCGAGAGTCATCTTCCGAGCTGCTTTTGAAGCCCAGAGGGGTAAATAATCAAAATGTGTGCTTCATTAATGCAGCCTAATGGTTTTACGCCACTGCACATGAATGCATATATACAGAACCCACAAACACAGCACTGATGATGGAAAGTGAGCATCACTTTTCTCTGTTGACTCCAGTAGGGCACTTGAAGTGAGAACTATGAAGGGCCTTGTGTTCTTGTATGTGGGCCTCTAGAACACGTAAAGATATTCTGTACTGTTGCTTTTTTGATAGGTAAATTAATGCGTAAATTAGGGCTAGGCAATTATTTGAAATCGACATTTAGAACCTAAATAAAATAATCAAACAATTTTTCCAGGTCAATTTTTTTTTGATTACTTTACCTATCAAGTGTGGAGACTAGCACATGCAAATGGTCCGGCACAGCCTTGACGCAGTTGCCTACCCTACTCTGCTATACAGTAGATACCCTATACCTTCTTACCTTCTACTTTAGTATTAAAAATATTGAAAATAATTAATTTTGTTTCCAAAAGTGCAAGTTATTTATTTATTTACTTTTTTATTAGAAAAAAGTCACTGTTTGTTTGAGACAATGGGTGTTTTAATTTCATTTATTCTGTGTTGATGTTTAATAAATGATCATAGATAGAAGATAGTGTGTGTTATTTTAAAATCAAGTAATGCAACCTTCATTCCAAAATATCACTCACTTGTAACATGTGAGCAAATTTACTGTACAATTTTGGTTTTCAAAAATTGTATTTCAGCCATACATTTACATGACAATAGCGGGTGAGGGCGTGAAACTGCAAAGCTTCTAAATCAAGTTTCAAAATGCAGATTAGTGCAAACTACAAAATGTTGTTTGTGAAAGCAGTGATGACGTGCATATACATGCATGAGTACATGACAGCCAAACTAATGTAATAATGTGCACACACTAATGTAATAATGTACACAGATTATCCCCAATGTCTTACTGGTCTGCATGCAAAATACAGTGTTTGCTCAATTTTTTGGTTTTAATCACTTTTTCAGAGTGAGCAGAAATAGTTTAGACAATGTTGTGTGTATAAAACGTTCAAACCTTTCAAATTGTTTATTTTAAATATACAGTTGAAGTCAGAATTATTAGCCTCCCTTTGAATTTCTTTTCTTTTTTTTAACCGAGCAAGGAAATAATTTTGACTTGATATCACTGTAATTTTTCCTTGTTGACTCAAACTTAAAGTAATTTTACAGATGCTAAACAGGCCATCTTTCTATATATCACTGTCATTTTTTTTTTACCTAAACATTCTAAATAAGCAAACTTTCCATTCATCAAATTAGCTTGAAAATATACCACACTATTTCCACAAAAAACGAACTAAATCTGCATATTAGAAAGATTTCTTAAAGATTAAATGGTACTGAAAACTTAAATATTGGCTGCTGAAGGATTTAAACAATAACAATGGTCCCAGCATATTTGCTGTTTTAGATTTTTAATTTCTATAGCTTCCAAGAATCCGAAAAGATCCACATATTGATAAATGATGTTATGATAGCTGTTTTAACATTAAGTTATGATTGAATTGCATTGTATTACAGTTATGAAATAGTTTGAAATAACAAGCTGGAAATGTTCATGGGCCAGTGACATGACCACATTGAAATGGTCTATACAGAACTTTATATTTTTGCATAAATAAATGCATCCTTGGTGAGAATAAAAGACTTCTTTCAAGCATCCCACAACTTGTGAATGGCAGCAAAGCTCTAAAAACGGAGTTTTTTCAGTAAAAAAAAATCAATTACACCACTAAGGATAATAAACATGATACTAAATGGCAAAATTAATTACTTTATAAATGAATGGCATCCTTAACTAATGGAGACTTTCATAGTGGGTTCATAAATATCATTTGCAATAGTTCTACAAAGAGCAAACAGAATGAGTGAAAGCTCATCATTATTACAGAACAATATTAACAACAGCACGCTTGAAGATGGAAACACACATTCTTTTTAAATCTGCGTCAGAGCGAGTCAGTCTCTCTGCCACCGATTCATTCATTCATTAACCTCACTATGGCCGCATGGCGTAAGGATACATGCATACGCACGTGTGCGTTTGTGAGCCACATCGGATACCACTCTCTGGTGAGTGTTTTAGTGGCCAACATTCTATTTCCTAACATGTGAGAACTGTGAACGCTTGTGAGCAAAAAAATGTGCAAGTTTGCCCATATCATGAAGACGCCACACACAGTGCGAGATTTCGAGTGTCCATGACGTAAGCCCGGATGAATCCCCCACTTAAATGAGTCAGAGCCCAAGTCTGCAGCTCCCTACTGAGGCTGTGACGCCACCACCCACTGCCCTCCCTCCCCGCACCTGCTCCTCCACGATCAGAAAGAGAGAGAGAAACACAGAAAGAGCACCAGAGCTGCTTCAACAGGGAGCAGCTGAGCTGAGACCAAAATCCACTTCCTGTTAGAGCAACATCAGAATGTTACTGAATCACTCAGACACATCCACACACGCACACGTTTACTTAAAGTCAAGAACCAACAGGTTACTTCTAGTCTTGACTCAAACTCGGACTTGTGAATAAAACTGATGCGACAAGTCATAAGTTTAGGGGAATGTAGTTAACAAAAACCCTGCATTGTTTTTAAAGCAACTGTTGAGTTACATTTTGAAAGAAAAGGCGGCAATCTTTTTATAAGATGCCTAAAGTTTAGCTTGAAACACCCCAAAGATGATTAATTAAAGCTTGTCAAATTGGCCCCTAATTAGGTGTGAATAGACATCTTTTTTGTGTGTGTCCCTTTAATTGCAAATGAGCTGCTTCTTTAAAGTAGATAGTGGAGCTTTTGCATGCTATTCTGACAAAAAACAATAAAGCAAGCAAATCTAATGTAGCCTTACATGTTCAAACTGCATTCTGACAAAAAAGTTACAACCACTAGTTGCAGTGTCAAAATTAATATGGTGCATCGCAATGCAGATTCTGACAATTCAGTATGATATGTGTGCAAGATGTGTGCACGAGTAGATTAATAATATGGCGAGGGAGGCGAGATGTGTGCGCAAAAGAGATGAGATGTGAGTAATTAATAATGCGGCAGTTATTTTAATAGCAGACATTTACACTAAAAAAAAAAAAGTTGACTAAACTTCAAATTTTAAGGCAACACACTTCAGGACACTTTTGAGTTGACTCAAGTTTCAAGCCATTAACTCCACTTGACTCGTTTTGAGTAAACTCCTAAATGTCCTGAAGTTTGTTGCCTAAAACTGCACAAAAATTTTATGTTGAGTCTTTTTATTTGAATTTTTTTTTTACAGTGTAGACATATTTTGCTGCTTGTGAGTTTGCTTGGACAGTCTGAAGATCTCCTATGTCAGTGCTAAGGGCACACTGCAAAAAAAACTTTTGCTAAAACCTCTCTTACCTGTGTGAACACAACATATTTAAAATATGAAGTGACATGCATCCCAGCAAGCTTTTTTCCTTTTTAAAAGATGTCTAATAGATGTTTAATAGACGTCTAAACAGTCATCTTGGCTAAAACAAGGCTAAATTTGGGCTGTCAGTGAAAATCTAATAGACGTCTAAGAATGGGCCAAATATAGACTAATCGTCAAATAAACAGAAATGAATGACGACACATAAAGTCTGTCTAATCTGTCTATTTTGGTGACTAGTCTAGTTTTGGGCTATTCCTAGATGTCTATTGAATTTTCACTGACAGCCCAAGTTTAGCCTTGTTTTAGCCAAGATAACTATGTTTAGATATCTGTTCAACACAAAATTGTTTGCTGGGATGTTTTAGATTTGAAGTATTGACCTTCAGAAACAGCACTGAAATCATCTTCCTACATCACTTAGGGATCAAATTAAGAATGGTGCATTTTCAATGTAGTTGCAGAAAAGGGCAATTTCTGGGTTGGTGGATGCACCAGGGACTCGGTCATAGCACAATGAACATGAACAAAGCCAGATTTCCATCATAATGCCACCTTTAGATTCAAACTCAACAATTATGTTTGTCCATATTTGGCTTCAAACCGGATTAAAACAAAAATAAATGACGATCAAAACAGAGCCGTTCTGCCACTCATGAGGTCTTGGCAGAGGGAGGTTCTGGTTAGTCCGGGCTGTTAACCAATAAACTTAAATAAGTGAATTCCTCAGGATCTTCCACACAGTGTCCATAGTGACCTTACAGTGCTGAATAGAAAGCGAGAACACACACGCTCATTGTTGCATAGGAAGTCACAAAGTAACTAATAGCGACTGCGCCATATTACACAATATAAATCATGACACTGCCCGAGAATGACTCCTTTCACAGTCATAATGACACTTTACACCTCGTGCTAATTTCTAAACTTGAAAGAAAATCCGAAGAGACTCATAAGCCATTGCTAATAGCGAGTCATCGAAAAATCTGACAGTTGCTATGAGATATTATGAGTGTAAAGTCAGAGTGTAATTGCTATAACTACCGTTTCCTCCCACAGCTGTAACCATTCTGATGAGAGCTGAAAATGTCTAATTGCGATATCATTACAGACTCCTTTTTCTTTGTATTTTGATGCATATACAGTATTTTTGTGCATGTGGGGCTGGGTGATATAGCAGATACGACTGATATATTGCTGATAACAGGTTGTGAATATCTTTGGATTTTGATGCACTATTTGGAGTCTCACTTTAAACGGTTTATTTGAACAAACTAATTCTTGTCTTTGATTAAATGATTCATTTGTGTCAGAATTGTTTGTGGAAGTCTCATTGTGACATTGTGTTATTATTAACATGGTGAAATATTTAATAATAGTTCTAATGAAATGAAAGTTTCATTACATACCACTCATAATGTTTATTTAACCAAAATATAGTAGACATTTTTAAAGATCTGTTCAAAAAATAAAATAAGAAAATATATTTTTTAATGATTTGATATAGTTTAATAATAAAATGTCCTTACATTTTATTAAAAAACAGGTGTTTTATCTTAAATATGACAATGTATGAATTGAAATGTATAATAATTATTATTATCATATAAACTCACTGGCCACTTTATTAAGTACACCTGTCTAACTGCTTGTTACACAAATTTCTAATTCCGAGCATCAGAATGGGGAAGAAAGATGATTTTGACTTTAAACATGGCATGGTGGTTGGTTCCAAAGTGCTGATCTACTGGCTTTTACGCACAATCATGTCTAGGGTTTACAGAGAATGGTCTGAAAAAGAGAAAATATCCAGCAAGCAGCAGTTCTGTGGGTCCAAATGTTTTGTTAATGCCAAAGATAGGAGGAGAATGGTCAGACTGGTTCGAGCTGATAGAAAGGCAACAGTAACTCAAATAACCACTCGTTACAACTGAGGAATGCAGAAGAGCATCTCTGAATGCACAGCATGTCGAACCTTGAGGCGGATGGGCTACAGCAGCAAAAGACCACAACGGGTGTCACTCCGGTCAGCTAAGAACAGAAAACTGAGGCTACAATTCACACAGGCTCAACAAAAATTGGACAATAAAACGTTGGAAATCTGCAGCAACTGCATGATGTCATTAGGACCAAAACCTCTTAAGAATATTTCCAGTACCTTGTTGAATCTATGACCCAAAGGATAAAGGCAGTTCTAAAGGCAAAAAGGGGTTCAACCCGGTAGTATTAAGGTGTACCTAATAAAGCGTCCAATGAGTGTATAGCAATGATAGTAAATATAATTACTGTTTATTTTCTAAACAACTGTAGATTCATTATTAACTAGATTTTTATTGCATTTTAGTTCTTGCATTATACATAATAAACCTGCTTGGCTAAAACAATCAGATTTCTTAAAAAAAAATACAGCTTTTTAAAAAATGCATGAATATTGAGATATTTACAGAATACTATCAGTTTACTATATTGCCCAGTTCTACTGCTATTAAATGTTTTGATGTTATGTAGTCAAGATTGTGCTCTTCTCGACTTTTTCAGACCTGTATTGGAAGTACGTGCAGTGTGATTATTTACCTGTTGGCGAGGCGAAGCACGAAAAGCTCAAGGAAGGCAGAGTCAATCAGCATGTTCTGGTCGTCGTGGTGAAGCTCAGAGAATCCAGGCAGCCGTTCAGCCCAGCAGCGCGTCACCTCCATAGAGCCGGTTAACACTCTGTAAAACATCTGGATCTGCTGAGACTCAGACAGACCCACGGGCTCCACCGCACTGAACTGCAGAGAGACAGATGAGTATACAAATCACAATCACTCAGTTGAATGAACTACCTGTGGATATGAAACCCTCTGGTTTTGGACATTCACTAAAGTGGAGGCAATTTTATATTTACAGTCACAGTGACTTTTAAAAACGATTTAATTAATTTAAGATGTCTGACAAAAGAGTATCTGGAATGTTTTAGGTTGATTGAGACAATACTTTTTTAATTTGAGTTAAAGCTTTAGTGTTTATTATATATGTTTTTGCAAATGTATTATTATTTTTAATTATATAAATATATACAGTAGTTAGGTTCATAACATTTCTGCCTATGTAATGGTAAACCTTTGCAAAAACAAGATATTAGTTAGCTATGTTTATCATGAAAAATACTTACAGTAAAAGACATTTTTATAATCAAAATGTGTTTATTAATATTAACAAACATTAATAAAATGTATTGTACATCAATAGTTAAAGTTAATTAACTAACTAATGTGAAATACAGGACATTAATGTAAAGTGTAAACAGAATATGTTTTATTTTAAATATCATTTATTTAAATGCAGTTCTATTATTACATCATCATTAATATAAATACGAATGAGAAACATTTTTAACATTTAGATATTTTATTTATTAATTTCATTTATTTAATTATGTATTTTTCTGTTAATTTTGAATTTAAAAAATTGTTTTAGTTTTATGGCTATAGCTTTAGTTTGAGTTCATTGTTGTAACCCTAGGTTGGAATGTTTACCCTTAGTCTCTCTCTTAAAACCAATTATTTTGGTGAAAAATAAATAAACAAACAAACAATTGAATAAGGAAAATAATAAAACATTAGGTCATCGAACAATTCATGCAGCAAATAGCTAAACATTGATTTCCAAAGCCTAGTCTAGACTGAAAACAGCACACTCAGTTACCTGGCTGTAGTCTAGCTCTCGTGGTGTGGACTGGGAATAAGCGCGCACCAGTGCGTTCAGCAGGCTGAGGGGAGGCGATGGGGGCGACGGCTCCGGCTGCAGGGGACTCTTTGGTTTAGATGGCAAGCGACCTCTCCTGCCCTTCAGGTTGTCTGTGCGCACCACTGTGCCAAACACACAACCAAACACATAGGTTAGACAACGCACATACCTCCCACACATCTAAATATTACTATGGACCAATATTTGAACAAATCCAATAAAACAATGCTATATTTGTGATGGATGTTAAGTTATGTTTAGATTTATTTACATAAAAAAAATTCAATGTGTTTTTTTGGATTGAAAATGTTTTCTGACTGACCAGTAGGGGGCAGCTGAAATCAGCATGTCTGCAGGACATCAATGAAATGGGTTGCAAGAACATTATAATATAATATGTCTGTCCTAATCAGCAGATAAGGTGGTTTATGCTGTGATATTTTGAAATAACATGATATCCATGCCTAAATTCTGTGTAATTCCTGTGAGCCTGTGACTGTCCTGTGTGCTGTGTTATTACCGGCTCAGAATCCGCTGATAGACTGTGATTGCAGAGGCGAAGTATTGCCGGTAAACACCTCCATTATACTTTAATTCATGCATTCATTCTAACCAACCAAGCCAGCTATGGCTCCAATCTGTATTAATCCACGGCGCATCTGTGTGCGTTTGCGGGTTTTAAATCATTAAGGTAAAGAGTGTCTATCTCCTTTGCATCAGTCTCTAACTAGAGGTCCAGCTGGGGTCATACGCACCGGAGCCCATTGTGTAATAATTGGCTTGAGTGGCTTGGCTGGACACATATTATAGGTATGTGTATGTGTGTGTGTGTGTACCTTCTTTCACCATGCCTACACTGAGGCACTTCTGGAAACGGCAGTACTGGCAGCGATTTCTTCTCCTTTTGTCCACAGGGCAGTTTTTACTGGCCAAACACACGTACTTTGCATTCTTTTGCACCGTCCTCTGCAGCCACCGACAAGAAAAAGAGGAGGAAAAAAACAAAACAATAAGCCAACAGGTCTAAACATTTTATTTATTTAATTAATTTGATCCCATTTTGGGCTAAGAATTAAAAAGGAAGCTTGCAGGTCAGATTTTAATTACAATGTGAAAAAGCTCCTGCTCCATCAGGATAATTAGATAAAATTAATTTCCCAACATGCTTTGCCTGCAGGAGGGACAATTTTATTAGCGCAAGCCACTGACAATGAAGATCAGTGCAGAGCGTGCTGAGGCTGCTCCCGCGAGACATCCCGCGCCGCGTGATAAAATTGTTTGTGAAACTCGCGGGTCAGCTCACGGCACCTCGGGGTTTTGGCAGATCGTGCCTCTCCAATAACCCCCCCTGGAGTTGTTTTCTCCTCGACTGGGTATGTGCGATTATTGCTGACCTTATTAAAATGAAATAAAACGATCTGCGAGTAAAATAATGTAGGAAAGAGGAAGCGTATGACAGCGCTAAGCTTCAGACATCAAGAGCACGTGCTAGCTACTGCAGAGCCAAGAGATGTTAAGCGCTTGCGTGAGACCAGTAAGTTCTGTGGTGATTAAGGTAAGATCCAAAACAAACAAAAACAATGCTTTAACAAGCTCCAACTGCGGTCAATTTAGTGGCACTAAAACATACATCAACAATGCTGGTTTCATTGCCCAGTTATTCAATTACCAAGGCTGCTAGTAGTTCAAATGAATTTCAAAAACACAGAAGCGGGAAACAATCTTTAGGATGGCCATCTTTGGTACAACTTTGAATACCTTTTTGCTTTTTTCCCATTAAACATCTTTAAAGTGGTAAAGTTTAAGTATGCTAAGTGGCTAATGGCTAGCGGTGACCATTTAATAATAGACTTTTTTTTATTTTAAACTTCTTTACTCATCCTCTACTTGTTTCAAGTTTGTTTGAGTTCTGCCGAACACAAAATGAAGGTATTTTGTAGGATGTTGGAAACTGGTAGCTGAAGACTTGGAAGTTGAATAATGGAAGTTATCAACAGAACAAAACACTCAAAGATTTGGAAACTAAATATGTTATAAAATAGCCTATGTTTTATACAGAGTTATTAATGAAAAAACTCAGTCATTTTATAATTTGGATGGTCCGTTGGGTCATGCCTCTGTTTGTGGCTAGACCACTCGATCCATGATGCCAACAGTCGTACGGTGAGTAAACGAATATAATGAATGAAAATACAAAGGCCTATACGGATAGACATACTGTATAATGTAATGCTGTACAGTACAAGTAATTTGCGTGTTTCGGTTGTCTCTATTTTAATTGTTTTGTGATGATAAAGATGGTGTTTTGTATCTGCCTGATTCTGATTTAACTTTCTTTTTCCTGCGGAAATGGGCGGGTTGTGTGACATTTAATTCATGTCCTGGCTCTCACTGACCAAACAGTTGAAATGCGGCTAATGTAAATGTAAATAGTAACCCAATTAATTCCTCCAATCAGAAACAAGTTAGAGTGAACCTAAAAAATATACAATGTCAATTTTCACCTTAACTCATGGGGTTATTCTGTAAATATGTTCATTTTTAAAGTTTGGTTAAATGTTTTGAATTAAATATATATTTAGCTAAAAAAAAGTCAAAAACTTCAAGGAAACATCTGTAACACTGACTTTTTGCATTTTACTTAATATTGTCTTGTCCTTATTAGTGATAATGTTGATTTTATAATTAGTTGGTAGCACTTTTCAATAAGGGTGTATTAGTTAATATTAGTTAATGTATTTACTAACATAAAAAAACAACGAATAAAACATATATTACAGTATTTGTTCATGTTATTTAACATTAGATAATGAAAAACAGAAGTTCATTGTTAGCTTGTTAGCTCACCGTGCATTAACTCATAATAGCAAGCAAGAATTTGGATGCTAATAATGCATTAGTAAATGTTGAACTGACTAATAAATGCTGTACAAGTATTTTTCATTCTTAGTTCATGTTAGTAAATAGATTAACTAAAACTGAAATCTGATTGTAAAGTGTGACCAATGAATTAGAGCACCTATATTGGCATCTGGTAGAAATAGGCATTATCAAACAGTCTGTAATCAGTAGGCCCACATGGAATCTCTGCACGCAGAAATCTGCCGATTTTTAGCCCATTATTGAATCTGTTTATTTACTCGTGTAAATTATTCTTTTTTTTATTATTATTTTCAGTATAATTATTGGCTAATATCTTTTGACTTTATGTATTTTAGTAGATATATTATATGGGAGACTTGCTTTGTTTTTACCAAATAAGTGGATGTTATTGGATTTGCATTAAAAACATAAAAAGTTTAAAAAGTTTTTTCTTTTCTTTAATATATTAAGTTTTTTGTTACGATACTCACATAAATCCGCAGATTTTAAAAAAATTCTGTGCAGAAATAGCAAAAAAAGTCAGCAGAGTCTGTCTGGCCCTAGTAATCATTATAAAAAAAAAAATTAAAAAAAAAGTTAAAATTGCTCCCAGTTTTTTTCTAAATGAGTAAAAATCATTTTTTTTGTGTGAACTGCCCCTTTAATATTTGATTTCTATTAAAATATTTTTTAAATCAAACTATAAAGAAATCAATCATTCCACGCTTGCAGCTGTTTCTAACAGGTGTAAATGAAATCAATTAAATCTCCCGTGTTTCGCAGAAAGCTGGATTTTTACCGTCAGGTGAAGCTAAAACTCCCACCCACACCCACATTATCCATGTGATTTGCACGGTTTCTCAAATTTCACTTAAATTGAACATAAAACTAGCAGAGCGGCTCTACTAGAGTGGACTAATCTCCCAGTGGGCACGCAAATGCACTTGTTAGCTCACGGAGTCTACTCGGTTACAGCTAAATTCACACTGATTCAGTATGACTTGATTAAAATACAACCTGTGGAGCACATCATCTTGAAAACACCCTGGGCTTAGTCTGAAGAAAAAAAAAAGAAGAAAAGAAACAGCACCTCGTCGTTTCCCCTGCACTGCACGTATGAGTGGAGCTCTGCTACTTTACGATTCATACTGTGACACGTTCTGTCTGTCGGTCACAGTTAGTGTACTGTCCACAAAAACTTTGAAGGTTTTGTTGCTGCGGGAGCTCATGGAAACACATCTCATGATGTTCATAAATTGAAATAAGCTGTTTTACGTATGATTAAGTGTCTAAAATGTCTGCATTTTTTGTTTATGTAGTTTAAACAATGACACAAAGCACAATCGTCACTATTACAACGGGTTTCTAACTTTTTTAAACAGAAAAGAATATCTTAGGTACCTCCTATGCAAATATCTCTCACTTTTTCTCCACAAAATTTCAATCAACTTCTTTTAAACTTTGAAAATTTCACATGTAGTTTCATGAATATTCCTGCAAGTTTTGACACACTGATTTGTTGTGGAATATGAGAAAAACTAAATAATTACTGGTCAATTTGATGCTCAATTTCATGGTTAATGGTAATTGCACTAACCAAAATAAACATAATATAATAAAAACTAAAAATACCTTAAAAAAAAAAGTCAGTAACATTTACATTTATGCTTTTAGCAAATCCAAATGTATCATTCATGTAGAAGGCATGTTGTATTTACCTTATTATTATAAATAATTGTAAAACTCTCTAAAAAACTACAAATCATCCACAGAAATGTAACTATAAAGTAAAAGTTCCAATGGGGATGTTCGCCGTAATGACATCGAAGCACCATTCTAGATTCACTTCTTAAAACCAACGCAAGAAATATTTAACAATCTAAAAAATCATTTCCCATGATGAAGAACCATTATAAATGCAAACCACTTTTAATTACAAAAGGTTCCATGGCGAATAAATATTCAATAAAACAATAAATGCCAATAAAGAACCTTTATTTTAAAAGTCTATGTCAAACAAAAATCTAAACTAACCCAAAATTTAAAAAAAGTATGAAGTCAGGGTGTCTCTGAGAGTATTAACATTTACATTTATGCTTTTAGCAGATCTAAATTTATCCTTCATGTAAAGGGCTTGTTGTATTTACCTTATTATTATAAATAATTGTAAAACTCTGAAAAAACTACAAATCATCCCCAGAAATGTAACCTATGATAAAATAAAAGTTCCAATAGGGATGTTTGCAGTAATGCCATTGAAACGGGATTCTAGATTCACTTCTTAGAACCAATGCAAGAAAGATTTTACAATCTTAAAAATCATTTACGGCGCTAAAGAACTATTATAAATGCACTTTTAATTACATAAGGTTCCAAGGATGATAAACCTTCAATAAAACAATAAATGCTGATTAAGAAGCTTTATTTTTAGAGTCTATGTCAAATGAAAATCTAAAAAACTACTTTCATTGTCTAACTACCATCATCCTCTCATGCGCGCACACACAGACACAGGGTTGCGGTCCAGTGCACAGCAGGGTCCGTAGGGTCGGTAAAGACAAGCAGTTGTGGATTCATGACATGTAACATGTGCTAATGGCCCTGTCGCACATTAAAACCCCTTAGGGAAGTTATATCCCGCTCTCCTCGTCCTCTCCTCCCCTAATCAGAGATGATCAGACTATCTTCTCTCGCTCTCTCCTCTGGGTGTGTAATTAGACGTGTGTGTATGGCTGTTCAATAGGAGAGGTGGAACTGGGTCATAAGTGTGTGTCTGCGTGTATTGCGCACTTAGACTGTATGATAAGACGAATTGAGCACATTTTAGTGCGTTTATTATTCAGTACTCTATAAATGCCACAATACAGCCGCAAATGCACATTTGTATTTGTTGTGGCTCATTTAATCGATGTAAAGCTAAAGGAAAGTGCTGGAGATGAGTTCTCATTCAGTTTTGAGCAGTTAAGAGCTGTTAAACTTTTATTCCAATGGAGGTTTTGTGAATGAGCGAGACTGTCTTCAACCCTCCATTAGGTTAATATTCAGAATAAATATTCTCTCGTTATGAGTCACAGAGCAAATTACAAAACAAATAAATGGTGTGAAAATAACTGGTGGTAGCAGATAAACAAGACAGAGTGATTCGCCTTTTTTTAAAACTATTTTTTCATTGTGAAACAGCAGAACAGTTTGTATTCAGATGTAAAGTAGAGCCATAAGTAAATTGATTTAGTGCCCGTTAATAAACATAAAACTAAAGCAAAGGCGAAATCTGAATAATTTTAGAGGATAAATTCATGTACACTCCATTAAAAATGTTACTCTAAAACCTAATGTAGTAGGAATCAACCTGCATTAAAAAAAAATCACAATAAACCCCCATTTACGAGAATTCTTCAAAGGATATACACTGCCTCACAATACACTGGCTTGCATTTAAATTCACCTGCTAATATTTATATTGTGAGTTAATGAGTTGCCTGAGATAATTAAATGGCGAGTGTGTTTTGTGAGTTAGGGGTGACAATGAATGTGTGCGTATGCATAAAAATAAGTCTGCTGATCGTCTAAGACTTGCCAGTGTGCATATGTCATTGTTTGTGGATGTCATTTGTGTCTGCGTGCATGTGTGCCAGCGTTGCAGTAATGGCTTCAAAGCCTCAGGCTTACCAACCCCTGCTTTTATTAATTACTAAATAAAAACTAATTGTGAAACTAATTGAAAAGAGGCATAATTTATTTCTGCACCAGACCACAGGCCATTTTCAATTATTTCAGCTCTGCCACTCTCGCTCCATCCCTTTCATTGTCAGTCTTTCAGCACAGTCTCTGTGTGTTTTAAGTCTTCTCGTTGTTTCTAACATATAAACCTAAGCAAATTAAGAACGTGAATCTCAGAGTTTTAAATAGCTGTCAAATATATGTTAAAGTCTGGTAAGTCTGTTGAAAATAAATCCCTTTTGCCGTCCTACGTTCCAGGCTCTCCTCAGTCTCGGTGTGTGTAAATGTGTGTGCGTGTGTGTTTCTGGCTACATCTCCAAGCTGCTGTATTTTAAGTGCGCGCCGCTGTCACACCTCTCACTGGTCACCGAGGGAAACGACCCTCACAGACACTGTGGCAACCGCCGCTCAGACGATTTGTGAGAGCACTCAAAGACACACACACATACATTCACACTCAGTACACACAAGCCAATGAAAAAGCTGAGCAAACCTGCCACGGTCTGAAACTGAAACTAAACAATCTTTCATTTTTTTAAAATCATTTCTGCACATCCTCAAATGCTTTTTTATTTGTGGTTAAGATCATATTACAACCCCCTCTTCAAAACAAACAACTAAAACACACAGAGCTCACTAAAGAATCACTATTCATATGGTTGGCTTTAACCTTGGTTCAAATGTCCACGGAGTGTGTTTCAATGGTTGGTTAGCCCTGAGCCTCACACTCAGAAAACGAGGTGCGATCGGTGTAGAGCGGTTGTGAGCCTCTTCAACCAAAAGCTTCTTTCAAACCAAGAACAAAACTAATGACCACTAATGAATACACAATCAACAAACACTACACTGACCACATAAGAGACACTGATCAACACACACTGCACAATAGTGTGCAAGTACAAGCCTCTTACACTCCATTTAATGACAGACACACTCACATACACAATGAGACGTGCTATTCAAATTAGCCACACACTGAGGAATACATATCAATCAACATAAACTGCAAACGCCCACATCAGCTTCCAGCTAACATATTACCATGAAAAAGTGTAAAGCAATATGGGAAATCCAAATAAGAGGTTTGCTAACTGGCAAGTATTTTCCATCAGTTTTAGTCAATCGCAGCTTGCTCAGCTTTTTGTGCAATGTTAAAGGAATAGCTCACTAAAAAAAAAAAACAGTATTTGAATGAGTTGCCCTGGGCCAGCTAGGGACCCTCAGCAAACTTTCTAGTAGGCCTCAGAATTTTTTTGTATTCAAATAATAATCTGTTTTTTTTTATGAAAATATGTAAGATATTTATTAAATAAATGTGAAAACGAGCACTTTTGTCACAACTTACTTTTTTTTTTTTACCGTTTTTGCATTTCAAAAAAGAAATAAAACCATACATGTGGTTGACATGAGGGTGAGTAAATGATGACAATATTAACTTTAGTGTGTAGTTAGTCTGCACACTGCACGCGACATTCGGACACGACTGTTGGCATACGCCCGCCCCCTTGTGGCAGTCGTACAGAATATTCAGTTTTGTCGTGCACCATGGGAAGCTGATTTTCGCGGTGGTGTCCCAAATAAAGGAGTGTAAAAGCAACAGCCTTTATTCTCTATGCGTTCATCATGGTTGAATGAATAAATGAATGAATAGTAGAAACTCATCATTGCTATAATAATTTTGAGAGATTGTTAAGACAAGATTAAAAATAATAACGTTTTTTTATTACTCATTTATGAATAGATTTTTTTTAATGTAGACTTATTTCTAATTTAAAAAATAAAGAAAAACTCCTATTTCTCATCTCGCACCCATGGACCTGCTTGGACAACACTAGAATACATCACATCCGGACGGCTGGTTGCATACGGTTCAGAAGCAGGAGTTCAAATATTTTAACGGATCTGCAGCTCAAATCGGAGCTCCAGGACTACTCTCCATTGGAAATGAATGACTTTCCGTCTGTTGCTTGTCGTTTGCTGTGTGCAGTGGAAAGGCTGCTTAACATGTTAACTAAAACTCTCTTATAATCCTCCTATTTGCACTGAACAGAACTTCTTATATGAAGCTCTCTGTGAAAGTGTGTGTCACTAAGGATTATTATGCATTTGCAATGGCATACTTGTGCAAGCAATAGTGACAATGATGGAACTCTAGGTGCGTCTGTATTCGATACAACGTAGGAAAACAAAAGCCCTCTGTCCAGCTTGGATGCTGAATTCTTACCTTGAAGAAGCCTTTGCAGCCCTCACAAGTGCGTACGCCATAGTGCTGGCAGGCTGCGTTGTCTCCACAAACCGCGCAGGTTCCTTCTCCAGAGCTGGTGCGATTTGGCGGCGATGGCAAACTCTCTCCCAGAAGCGGTGGACAGTGGCCCATGCCCAGAGAGCGAAACGCCAGGCCTCCCGGCTTACCCATGTTGATCGGGTACATGTTTGAGTGCGTATGGGAGTGCACGTGTGAGTGTGCATGTGTGTCCATGTTGGGTGGCACATGTGAAGACGAAGAGGAGGACGAAGGAGAGCGTTCAGGGCGCAGCGGAAGGCCGATGGCAGTGTCGTAGCCGCTGGTGGAGGGTGGCACCGTCTGCTCGTAGAAATGAGGGAAGCGAGGGCTCTTCAGCGGGCCTTCAATCAGGCAAGGTTGGGGCACTGGGGGAAGACTGTGCTCATCCCACAAGAAAGAGCTGCTGGGTGGGCCGGGGTGAAGCGGCGTAGGGGGCGTCGAAGGGGGCGACTGTTTAAAGTACATGGAGCTCCCAGGTATTGCTTCGTCAGATGGTGCCATGGGTGGGAAGGACTCCTCCTCTTTCTTGATGATAGGGCGTTGAGGAGGGAGTTGATACAGACAGGAAGGTTTGGGCTCGAAGCCGCCCTCCACAAACACATTAAAACTGGGTAAGGAAGTGGTGGCGGCCGCCGCTGAGATCTCTCCCCCACTGAGCTCACACTTTGTGTAGTCTGTCGCCATGAGGTCAGCGCTGTAGTCACCATGGTAGCCAAAGGACTGGGCAGAGTAGCTGGACCCATGGGGTGGAGGGCCGTACTGGGCCTGAACGCAGGGCATGTCTACTGAGATGGGGAGAGAGAATGGGAAAATGACTATCACACTGCTTTTATTTTGTCTTTTGGTGTACAGAGCATGTGCTGTCAATCATGGCATTTGAGTATTATTTTGTTAGTGCTGAGTTAGTAGATAAACCATTCGCCAGGAAACGTGGGTTAGCCTGTGAGCTGGTGGGCACACATGCAGAACAAAAAAATCAATTCCTCATTCCTGGCCTTGACTCTCAAAATACGGGAAAAAAAAAACATCTGATTCAAATGAAGTTCAGTCATTATTTACTCTAACACAGGATGTAAGATTTTTATTCTCCAATAGAAAACAAAGTTATTTTCAGTGCATTTTTTTAGTTTCTCAAGCTGACGTCTCCATTTAGCCGTGACATAAAACCTGGTTGCCTAATTCAGAGCTGGTCTACTAAAGATATTTCTTTGGCTTTCTAATAAATACCAAGGTAAAACAAGACCTGTGGACAATGCTTTTTATGTTCAGGTATAAACTGGAAATTACACTCACCCATAAAGAAAATGTGAATTCTGAAGCATGTTTATTTTATTTTAAAAGAAAAGTGTATTTGTAATAAGTGCCTATACATAACATGCGTATTTGTTGGCCCAGCAAACAATTTTGTGTTTAATAGACATCTAATAGACATCTAAACACACACAGCTTGACTAAAACAAGGCTAAACTTGGGCTGTCAGTGAAAATCTAACAGACATCTAAGAATAGGCCAAAACTAGACTAGTCGTCAATTAGACAGACTTTATATCATTCATTTCTGTTTATTTGGTGAATAGTCTAGTTTTGGCCTATTCTTAGACATCCATTAGATTTTCGCTGACAGCCCAAATTGTTTTATTGCTTTGTTTAAGCCAAGATGACTATGTTTAGACGTCTATTAGATATCTTTAAAAACAAAAAATGCTTGCTGGGTGGAGTTTAAGCTGCAGTATCGTCAAGCTATATCAACCACAGACCCTATTTTACGCACGAATCTAAAAAGCCCATTAGGAAGATTTCAAAGGATCTACTGTTGAATTAGTCTTCCAGGCTTTGACGACATTGCAGGCAGAATCTGTTCATAGAGGTTTAGAACAACATGAGGGCTAATAAATGACGACAGAAATGGAATTTCAGGCTGAACTGTCTTCTTAATAATTATGTAGCCTAATTCACTGAAATGCCTCCTTCAAGTAAGTTTTTTTTTCTGGATTTAAACTTCATGAGACTTTCTCACAAGCAAACACCGTCCAACCCATCAAGCACACATATCCTATATACCTAACAAATCAGTCTTTGATGACTTAAAAATACGCATAAGTGTAAATATGCAACGCTGCACAAACAAGAGTTCACTTACTATCAAATCATAAAGTCTAAACGCTTTGAGATAAATATCCATGATACTCTATTAATTAAATTCGCACCAAGCACCATGAAGTGATCTCATTAAAAGCCATTAGGAAGTCCCTTGTTGTTTCTAGTAGGCTGTATCCTGGGCCAGCTCTGTGCTCCAGGAAAAACCATATTGCCAGCGCACTCAGAGTTATATAACTTACAACTGTGCGCCTTTACACAGCTGTTTAAGTGCATCTGTGCAGAGCTACCTGAGTCCGTGAGGAGATAATGTGTGTGTGTGTGCGTGTGCTTTGTTTGCTTATTTTCCCTAGGTGGGGAAGTGTACACAGACCCGACTTTGGCTTGACGCTGTCGTGTAGTGACTCCGTAATCCTTGTGCCTCCACCACGTCATGTGTGTTTAGTAAAATCAGGAGGCCTATCAATTATGAACGGCCCTTTACCTGTGATGACTCAGACTGGTGCGCGCATGTTCCTTTTTCTACGCACATCACTGCCTATGCATACAAATCGTACAGCATCATGGATAACAACAGATTTAATGTATGTCTCGACTCTGGATTTAAAGCATAATGAATAACACATATATTTTGTTCACACCTTTTTACCTATTTAACTTTGACCACTATTGAAACTATTGAAAAAGGTTTTTTTTAGGCCTATTAAAAACAACAGGAAACTTTCTTATCATTCACCTCATTTAAATATAAATGTTGCTAATAATAACTATTTTTATTATTGCATTTTTTCAATCCTAAATTTGTAGAAGAAAGCATTATAGATAACATGTAGTAGCCTACTACAATTTTGGTAATAAATCAATAAATCACTAAATAAATGAAAATTGAAGGCTACTAAAGTATATATTTCAATGTACGAATTAGGTATTAAATGACTTCTAGGGGTTTACAGTTTAAATTATATAACCTGTCACTTTTTTATGGTGTCTTCCTTAACCCAAATAAGTAGCCTACTAATGTTTTGGCTCCCCTAGATAACCGTCAACTAGCCTAGGCCTTTTTTTTTTTTTTTTAAGTCTCCGCTTTAAATAAAACTAATGTTATTATTAATATATGTGAAATGTGTAAATAACTTAATTATAATTCCCAGGACTAAGCCTATGTATTGTGCATGTATTGACTGCTATACAGACAATGATCGAGAAGGTGTTGCTATGGTTACTGGTCGCATATCTTTAATGCACAGTGGTTAATTTTTAATCCAATATTCAAATATTTGTGGTTGTTGATTGGAGACGCTGAAAACGTGTGTATGTGTGTGTGTGTGTGTGTGTGTGTGTGTGTGTGTATATATATATATATATATATATATATATATATATATATATATATATATAAAGCATGTTGCCAGCCTATTAAAAGGGGCACTTTTTTGTAGTTATTTGCCTAATTTTTTTATTCAATTATGCACTTTGTGCATTTTAGTGACAATTTAAGAACTAATCTTTGCTGAAAATGCTTGTCGGATTGTGATCATAACTACACTATAAAATTTTTCCTTCAATTTTGTCATAGTGCTTACCATACTATTTATTTACAAATTAGGATTTAAACTGTAAGTCAATCCAGTTGTATAAATATTGTAATTAGTATTTGAATAAGGAAAAAAATATACTCATTTTTAAATACAAATAAATGTATTATCTTCCATCATTTAAAACTAAATATGAATCTGTAAAACGTATTTTAAAATAAAAAAACTGCAGCCTATAGGCAAATAACAAACTGGCCAGCTCATTTAACTTTCCTCAGTCACAATTAGGCCACTTAAATAATTAAAAATATAAAATGTTTTAAAGCATTCTTCTTTCAATAATTTTGACAATTGATGATGGTTTAGCAGTCAAAAATGGGATAACTGAGCTCATGTTGAGGTCAAATTCTGGACTTTGTCAGTGGGTGCTGGCTACGGGCCTATACACACACACACACACACACACACACACACACACACACACACACACACACACACACACATATATATATATATATATATATATATATATATATATATATATATATATAATTTTTATTTATTTATTTTCTTTGGATGTAGACTAAGTAAAAGGTGGCGAAAATGGGGAGGGGGTGGAGATCAAAACCGAGCTTATAACATCCCCATAATTTGCAACTTGACGTTTTACGTCAGAGTGAGGTGCCAAAGCGCGGGCGGGAGGGATTAGGTGCGACCCTTTCATCGTCATAGATACTGACGGAGGAATGGATGTTTGAGGTCAGTCTGTCTCTCGCTAAATGGAGAACTGCAAAAGTGAGTCAAACTTTCATGACTGACATCACACACACAAATATCTCCCCAACGAGCACTTGGGAAACATTTGCTTCAATGCTTATTTAAAACAAGTCATTCTTATTTTAAACTCACAATACATAAATCGATCAAATAAACGAATAAACAAATAAATTTAGATAATACTCAATGGGTTGAAAAGAATGTCAGTCAGCCATATAAGCACAGACATGCTGATAAACTTGCTTTAAATTAGTTTTGGAATTTGAAGACAAAATTGCGTTAAGCACAAATATGGCATTCAGCCGGTCAAGGTCTTTTCGTCCAATTTAAGAGCTCAGAATGTGTACGTCTAGACAAATCCTTACATAAAAAAGCGGGACCTGGCTTTCTGTCTGACTATCTCTTGTGTGTATCCGTTTATGACTTGTTTGTGCACGTGCAAACTCCACAGCACGTCGATTCTCTACATCAGCTCCACATTTCACCATGACACGGATAATAAAAAATGAAAACGCAGCCAGCATAACGTAAAAAGTCAAATTATTAAGAAGGTCTAAACCACATAAAGTCATACTGAAACGATGCTTTACAGCTCTAGTGTGTGCGCGCGCGTGCACCAGACAGAGAGCCTCACACAAATACACACGCAGGCTTATAGAAAGCGCTTTAGAGGGATGAAACAGTTTCTAACCTCGAGGTGTGCATTTTAGATGGACAAAATGCAGCTGTTCCAATAACTGTGATCGCTTGTTCATTGTCAGAGTGCCATAGATCTAACAAACAAACAAAAAAAATAAATAAATCAACGACAAAATAAATAAATGCATGACACGCTAACCAGTATAATTTTGCTCTTGAAGCAAACAAAGGCAGCAGCACAAATATATTTGCGCAAACTTTCACTTTCTTTACACTAAGACAACAGGACAAAGCATTCTGACAGGAGCACACGAGGTTGCTGTGACCATAAAGAAGACTGCCTTATGATGATATTATCATAACTGGGAAGGTACAGAAAAAAACTATTATATAAATTCCACTCGTTCCAGGAATTTGAACACAAATACATAGGCTACCTTATCTGACATAAAAACATGCAACCACCATCTGCGCAACTCGTGTTTTAAAAAGAATTGAATGCAATTTGCTGAGGAATGTTGAACAACGACAATGTCTTTAAAAACAGTGCTGTTTTTGCATTTATTTTCAGAACAAACACAAACAAAGCTCAAACATTTTTGTTCTAAAATTATAAAAATAAATTCTTATGAATTAAATATTGCTTTTATTATAACAGGACAACTTTTTACTTGTCATTTTAACAAATACAAAGATAGGCTACAACATGTAGAACTGGGGTATCATAAAAAAATATACTGTTCAGGTATATAAGGCTTTCAAAAGCAGCAACAAAAACTTGGTAGCAGTTTGTTTACATTGACTAAATGTGATGATATTGAAACGACCTGTATTAGCCTACAGCTTAATTTTAAATGTTTAAATATGCAATTGTATGTGAAATATCTTATAAAATGCCCTCCGGAGTGGGAGAGATTTTTAAATAGAATTGTGGTATACCTGATTGGCCTTTTGCTCGCTGAATCGTGGTCGGTTTTTCGAGTGGAGGCTGCACGCGTCTGGGGTTCGGGGCTGCTTCAGCACACGCGGCGGGTGAGGTATCCGGTAGCCGGGACCCAGACCTGGGCTGCAGGCGCTCTTCCGAACCGGTGTCTGAAATCGGGAGCACACAATGATTTAGTTCACTGCTATGACATAAGGTCAAAGTAGTGGCAAAGTCTTAGAACTGGCAGAATGTTAGCTAGAAACTCAAGAGTTTTCTGAGTAATTTTAAATGAATATAATTTATATGCAAGTGTGAAGGTGAATAAACAAGGTTAAAGAAGCATGCGGTCTGCTCCAAAACAGCTACCATTAAAAGTATATAAGCAAATAGTTGTCTTCTATAATAACAGAACTCCTTGAATATTTTCATAAAAGATGCATGGGTTCATATAATTTGTTAATATGTATGTTATATAGCACAGAAAATATACTGACATATTCAGATTATGTTTACTAAAACACTCCTCGATTGTATTCAGAAATACTGAAATATAATTTAAACACAAAAAGAAATCTTTTTTAACAGAAATATATTTAATTTAACGACGATGCAATTGCAGCCTTTTTAACAAGTTAACATTAATCACAAAGTGCACACCAAGCACAAACAAAACATTTTGTAACAAAATGTTACAATAACCGTTTTGTATTACATTCAAGGAAAACGCTAAAAGAAAAAAAACCCTGAAAATCCATTAAAGTGAAGATGTGACATGCAGTGTTTGAGCTCAAAAATAACTTTATTACACAAACTGCTAATACGATTTACAAAGGACTATTTGATTGTTCCTTCTGGTGCTGCACTCGACCATGGAGTTTAAACCGCTCTGAGCGTCTAATAAAATACGTTGCCATGCAGTATTTGTTTTGCTTTACCTCAGAATAACGACAGTCACAGTGACGGCTGGACAACATTCACCTGGGCACTCACAGAACTCCGACTATCCTCGTCTTCGGTCAAATAAACCCACGCGCGCAGAGCTCAAGAGTTTTTAAAAGCGACTAGCGCCCCCTCCCTGACAGAAGAAGCGCGCTCTCACAGCCTGCCTTGTCAGGCATTGGGCACTTTCTCGACCCCTCAAACTACTTGAAACAATACATAGAAACCTTCATGGTTAGGCAATATCAAGACTTCCGGAACTAATTTATGATTTGACTTACAATTGAAGTGAGGAAAGTAAAAGACGGGAACACATTTTGATCATTTTGAGTCGCCTCACAATTAATGCTGATATTAACGGATGCTGATATAAATAGGATGGCTTTCTAGAGACTTTATTACTTTTGCATTTGAGTTGAACCATTGCCTGATTGGGGTCATGTGTGATTTTGACAGAGCGTGATTGAGTGTGTACGCATGGAGCCGCCGGTCCGCTTGTGCCCCGGTAACCTAGAGAACCGCGAGAGAGCACTGAAGCACGCGCTTTGTAGAGGCGCTCCGTTCTCCGTTCAATAAGCGCGCGAGATAGAGGCTTTCCAGCAAACACACAAAAGAAAAGGAGAGAGTGGAGATAGAGGGATGGAAAAATACAAGTACATTAAATTAGCTTGGAGAACGGGATTTGACACCCGACAGAGACCTTAGGGGAAGAGACCAGGCTATGTACTCCGTGACCCGATCTCGCGTGCTCCGTTATAAAACTTTAGCAGAAGAACAAGTCATTTAGGTCAAAATCAATATATTGTTGTATCACATACCTCATGAGGGTGGTTCTGGCACAGCTGTTACTATTGGTATTTGTAGGCTACAGGCAGTGAAATAAAAAGTAACTTTACTGTCATTCATTTGTGTGCGTAATAGTAAGTGCCCCTGCATCGTGTTTTGATCTGAAATTCACACCACATTGGCTACTGTAGTAAAGGAAAATAATTTTTTAAAGGTTTTATTCCAAAATTAAAGAATTTAAAGTCTTCTAAAAGCAAACAAACGCTTGTTTTCCTGACCACAAGTGAACTGATATTTATCTCATAGAACACTGTTAGAAGAATAGTGAGAGTGGTAAATATGAGAAGAAAACTAGACGACATGTTGACAGTTTGTGTAGGTTAATTATTTCTGATAACTGTGCACATGTGTTCATTGTGTATGTTCGCGTGCGGTCCTTCCGTTGCGTCAAGATGGAATGAATGAAGCGCATGTAGTCATGTCATTGAAACGTGGTAAAAGCGATGTTTATGAAACTAAATCATATAAATGAAAGTATTCTAGATACTGCTATGAATGAATATAAAAACATTGGCACAATGTTAAGTCGGGTTTTTGAGAATTGTGGAGCGCTCAGCACTCTCTCCTTCTTCTTGGCGCATCTCACGAGACTCTCTACCGGCCCCGCGCGAGCTCACAGCGGTTTACCCGGGTGAGGAAGAGGCATCCCATTTCCATGACAACCTGTGAGAATATTATAGCCCCCGTTTCGCAAATTAAATTCGCATTCGGTCCCTCTATCAACAAAGATAGCGCAGAAATACAGCTCGTTTACGCGCTGGACATTCAACAGGTCCGCACCTGAAAGTTCTTTATGTCATGCACAAATATATGAATGGAGACCGCTATAGAAACACTACAAGTCACCTAAAGCATGTTGTCAGGGATTTTAAAGTGTACAGTTGTGTTTTATGCTCTATAAATCGTATAAAATTAAAAAATACTACTTACTTGATTTCTGTTGACGGTCCGTCTTTACATATGTTTTAAAGCCCTAATAATTCCTTGTGCATATCCAACCGAAAATTGTAAAAACTGAAAAAGTGGTTGAGTAAAAGTTGGTATTAAAGTAAAAAAGTTGATGATTTTTCATTTAAAAATATTACTTGACCGATTTTCCTTTTAGCTATGAAGAAAAAAAGTACTCCGTGGTTCTGTCAGCTCCACTATAATAGTGTCGGCGTTAGTAAACGAGAGGATGCGCTGAGCTTAAGTTGCAATGTGCCTTTGTTTATGTGGCGCGCTGAGCGAGAGAAAGTCTAATAGCACATTTATGTGCGCCTGGCTTCTACATAGCTAGAGTGGAATGCGCTACGTCAATGTGACGCCATGGGAGAGGTGACGTCGAGCCTGCACTGTCTGCACTGTAGTCCCCGGCCTCTCTGGTACAGTATACACATAAGCCGTACAGTCCTTGCCAGGAGAGAGAGGAATAGAGTTGGTCTTCTGACTCTTGGTCAGAGGTTATCAGAAATCGCGCGGTAGGGCGTGTTGTCTGTTGCTTGCTAGAAAAATATGTGTGTCATATTAATTCTATAGCTTAAGAAGCTATTTTAAAACCTTTTATTTTTATCAGGTGCCAAATGATTAAACAGTATGATTGTAATTGCATATTGAACATAGTTATGGCCTCCGCAGTGTGTCATGCTATAATAAATACTCTGATCCCGGTAATAGCCAAACGTTAATCATTGCGTGTACACGCGGTATAAATGAACGTGTGCGTTTGTCAATGTCTTTCAAAAAATACTTGTAAGCAATCTTTCATTGCAGAAGCTAGTCCATAGAAAAAAACTACGTTGTGTTATTATTTTAATGTTAGGCATATCCCAAAATTACCCTTTTTCTGGACGCAAACAAATTAGTAGAAATTTATCCAATATAAATTATAAGGGTTTGAAGCTGAGTGGAGTTAAAACACCAAAGTGCTTCCGGCGTGTACACTAAACAAACTATTAAATTTAGCTTGCGTACCTCGTAGTACAAAAAAACATCAACAAGAGCCAATCACGGGACACGTAATTTCTTGGCCACGTTCTAATTCTGGCCAATGATCAGCTCCCGGAGGCGGGGTGAGGGCATGACGCACTGAGGCGCGTGATTGACGCAAGCGATGTTACTAAATTTAGCAGCGGGCGGCCCGACTGTGTGAGATAGCAGATCATTCATTCATTTTGCGAAAGGGCGGGTCCGTTTATTTTAGACATTTGATTGTGTTCCAGCCAATCCAAATATAGTCGTAGACAGGTATTTTTAGCGGAAGCGTGTCCCCGTTACCTCTTACCAGGGAACAACCTTATGATATCCCGTGCTGTAATGGGAGAAAGTAGAGAACCGATAGCCTGTGGGTATTTCGCCCGTTTGCTCAAAATGAAGCTTTTTTCTTCTGCAGGGTTATCTCTGATGTCTAGCTCGCTTGGCTTTGCGGAGAAACAGAATAGTGCGGACGTCCCGAGGACACTAAGCAGGACAGGTTTCGGTTGTCTAATTGTTTTGGTACATCGATTGTTGTTTAGAAGGACACTTCGTACTTAGTTGAGTCTCGCATCATAGTATCGTTAAGAATCAACAACCGTCTTTTAGCTAACGTTAGCAGGAAAAGTCGATAAATATCAGCAGGAATTGTTCTTCGTTAGTTCGTTAGAAACTAGTAGTAAACAAGTCTGTTTTCACGACGCACAGGCAACATGAATGTACAGCATAAATGACTGGATGAAAACTCTGCCTATTATTTTTCTTTTTGGAGCGAGCAATTGCTTTATTTTTTGCTTCTGGTGTTTTACCCAGAATACAAACACTTGTTTATATTGTGACTATTTCCCAACTTCAAGAAGTCCAGTGGTCGGCCAAGTGGTCTGTAGCTGTGGGGAACATGTTCCGCGTCGAGATCTCGGGGTTTGGGTATGGAAAAGGTGCGCGCGCGCGCGCAGAGGGAAACTCGCTCCTTTTAGCTTTTCTGCTTTGCCGTCACGGGGAATCCCCTCTCCGTGACCTTCCCCCGCCTCTTTAGACGCTTAAGGAGCTAGCGGGCAAACCGGGTCAAGTGATAATAGCTTCGTTTCTGAAAAGACAGGTTCTGCTTAGTGTAGTTAGAGACAACTACACTCTTAAAAACAATGTTTTTGAAACCTTTTCATTTCAAACTGTTTTATTATGTTGGGAAACGCATATTTAGTCTATCAATAGCCTATATAATATTGTTTAGAGAATATAAATAATGTTTCTTTACGTTATGAAGCATGGTTCTTTTAAAACTCTTCAATTAAAGATTCCTTGTGGAGCCCAAACCAGTTAATATGTTGCATCACTACAGAAAAAACGAACTTTTGCAAAATTTTATTGAAAAAAATGTACTAAAATGTTTGATACACATTTAAAAGGGATAGATTCCAGTACTGGCATAACTTAAATAAATTGGAGAAAATAGAAAACAAAAAAGTCAGTGTGGTTGTCATCAAAGTCTCTGATTTGGCAAACCAAAATATTAGGGAATGTTACATTTTAAAATCATGGAATGTGTTCAAATAAAAAAAACGACTCTTTTAATTTTAAGTCTCTAAATGCCATGGAAAAGTCATGAAAAAGGATTGGTCAAGGTGTAGAATTGTTTAGTCTCAAAAATGAAAGTATAATTGTGATATGTTCATCTTTAGTGCGATTTAACTGAACTCATTCACTAGTTTGTTTGAATAAGAATGAATCCAAACTTTCGTGTGCACCAAATAAGTGAGCTTAAATTGCTCTTCTCATCTACTTTCAAACAACAGGGTGTCCGCAGGGTCTTAAGTCTTAAAATGTCTTAAATTGTAAAAGCTAAATTTTAGGCCCTATAAAGTCTTAAATCTACTAAAATGTTGTATTGTAGGTTTTAAATCTTTTTTAACAGGTCTTAGTTTTCTTTTGTTTATGTATAGCTACACAATGTTTTGTTCTGTTTTTGGTAAGGTTTATAGGGTTTGTAAATGGATATATTTGAAAATTATTTAAAAATATATTTAAACAAATTTATTATTATTGTATTATTGAATGTATTAAATTTTAATAGTGTTTTTGATAGGGCAAGTGAAAGTCTTCTCTAATTTAGACCTGTATAAGTCTAAAATTTCATTCACAATGGTCTTTAAAATGTCTTAAAAAGTCTTATATTTAACTTGGTGAAACTTGCAGAAACCCTGAAACAAACTCTGGTGCAGTTCAACTAAAATATGAACACAACGCATCAGAAACAGATTAATAAACTAAAAACAGGACATGATATCACTGTG